TCTCATTCTTCTCAAATGCTCCCAACTTGGTCTCACGCTCCGCGTTGTATAATCTGCCGGTTCAGTGGGGGAATCGTTCATTCCGTATCATTTGACACTACATTGTTCGAATACATCCATTCCACTGCCATACTTCAATTTTCTGTTCTTCAGTCCTCATGGGCAACCGATCGTGTGGGAGACTACAATTGCGTAAGCGTCAATAAACGTTGGTTACTTTTCAGAAGCGGTGTAGCGCATTAGCTCTTGGTAGGATTGAAATAGAGAACGCTTATCCGCAAGTCAGAAAGCTCAAAGAAACACATCCAAACAAAAATTTCCTGATGGCATGGGATAGTGGAATAGTTAAGCAATGAATTTTGTCTTATTCAGAGCAAATGAAGCGGAAACTGGAAGACCACGATGCACTGTAGCGCTTTTTTGACCTGGTCGGGTCAAAACAACAGTACGAGATGTGATGCTTGGAGTCGATCCTCAGTTGGATCGACTGATTCGCACTGCTGATGAGACTCAACCAAGTCGAAAAGCTGTAGTGTTTCAATTTAGGATTTGGACTTATATCCTCAAGGTTTACGGTTTCACCTCTACAAAGTCAAATCTGCACAACAAGCTCAATCTGCGGATGTGTGTGAACAAGGATGAAACAGCCACCCGAGGCTGTTGATCGTTCATCAAAAAGGCGGCAAGCTTCTTTTTGCTTCGCGTAATCGGGATATTAACCTAAATTTGGAAGTCACAATTGATTTTTTTTACATCGGACGGCAAATGAAGTTAGTGGGTCATCGTTCGCGTTGATCTATCCATTAAATAACCTTGAAGTAAACGGCCATTTGAATTTAGGTCAACTGAGCTGAAAAAATTGACAGATGCAAGGCTTTCGTCAGGAATTTTGAAATTGGTACTGAGATCTGAAATGGATTTGGTACGGTTAACGGTCGGTGTCTGAATTCTTTGGTTGGTTTGATGCATGGTCAATCCCAACACAACGACCGTAATACGGTTTCTGATATTGGTTGATGGAATATCATTCAGCTTTCTAAATAGAGCTTCTAGCCTTGCATCGCCCACTTAATCCCATTTTTGAGCACTATCAAGGTGAAATTCAATCGGACACTGTATTATGTTACTAGAATCAGAACACGAGGGGAGCACAAATGTGTGAACTATCAACCGATCTTTCATTGAAATTCAGGAATATATCATCCATATTCCCTCAGCTAAACTTTTTTACTGCATCAAGATACAGCGTTACGCAAGCACAACGGCTCCAAACCGTTCTTGGTGCACTACAATTAGATTTTCATTGTTAGTTACCATATAGTCCTCGTCGGTTGTCGGTTTGCTTATCCGTTTTCCAGTTTCAAGGTAGCTATCGTACATATCCTACATCGAAGGCTTCACATTTTGTTACTTAACGAAGCACATTTGTTCCAAAATCCTATCACTTTACTTCATTCTAAGCCATAAAACAGAAAACAATGTGCTGCTTAACAGTACAATACAGTTTAGGAATTTACACTTCTTGATTGATGGATCTCACCCACTCATTGAATTGTTGTTTAAGTGATTTTTTTCACTGACCAGTCTCAATGTACCTTATTCACTGGCACAAATGCTGGTCCCCATACAACTTGCTCCGGCATTGTGATAATTGAGAGACATGCGATGGTGGAGAAAAGTCAAGTATGTTGAGACTAAAACCTGGATTGAGTGCATGAAAACTCCGACTAGGAGACGGGGTCATACAGGCCACGTTAGGCAACTTAAATTGGGACTTCGGGAAAAGCGCAACCGGCAATTGGAGACGATACATTATAGGATTTAGTGTTGTTAACAGCGAAACTCATGTGTGTACTCAAAAAGCTTGCAACCTTAGATTACCTGCATCCCCTAACTTAACCATTCTCAACACCATAATCTTTCTTCTACTTCTTTATCCAAAGAGGCAGCCAAAAACACAACAAACAAAAATACCGCGCAAAAAGGCTTGATCAATGGTTTCAGAAACCGAATTGAACTGAGGTGCTTCAAGATAATATTCTTTTCTGCTTTCGTGATATCTTATTCGTAAATGATACCCTATTGTTTAAGTATGTGAACTCATCGGTTGGCAATGTGAAACTACTTTCCAACTTCTGCATCTCTAAGCATCTTCATTTTTACCGTCTACTGGGTCTGTCAGTTCCCACCTATCTATACATTAATCTATATGAAGTGGTTTTTTAGCCATCCTTTGTCAAAGGACCCGGACACGTCTCGAAATAGTGAAAAGGTTCACGCATTGCATCGGTGACTAGAAGATTCCTACGGTCACATCACTCAAATACTTTGGTGTTACTATTTACAAACCTTTATCGATTCTCCACATACTGTGAATAGTTCGAAAAACATTTTATGCGTTCTGTATTGAAGTTCCCTTATTTTATCCCGAAATAGTAGTTGTCATTTAAGCACTCCAGCGTTACTGTACATTTATTGCTTTGCTGTCCAACAATCTTTGAAGTTTTCTAAGTCATTCAGTTTGATTAATATTGAGAGCAAACCAGTTTATTAAATATAATGATAGTAAATTAAAAAGAATCAGTTCATACACACTCTTTTGTCACAACATTCTGAGTGAAGCTAATCACCCGGCATTTGAACAACTCAACAGATGTGCACATACGTAACACCGGAAATCACTGCATTCTCATATACTTTCGTGCATTAACTATCGATGATCCTTTATCTCTCCGAATTCCTTAGACATCACTCTTCTGCGAAACAAACTTTGTCCTAAATAATAATTCAATGTGTACCATATCACTGTTTCATCTCGGTGAATTTACCTCTGTCACACTTTGTACCATCGTTATCTAAATCCATATCCGAGGTTTTATTGATTATAATGAACTCCAATGAGGCTGATGCTATGTATACATTTCTGGCTTGGAATAAGGCAAATAAGTGAGATTGACTTTCGAATAAATGTCAAGTTGACGCCGATAACCACAGTGAAGCGAATAAAACCGAATTCTATCTGGCAGTTTCAATGCACGAAACTGGTAGCCCGGGAGACAGTGATATGGTTGATACCTGCATAAAAAACTTAGAATAAATAATACAACGCATTTTCAAATGTAACTATTTGACAGCTTCGTTGCAGATGAAGCAGTAGGGGCCGTCGGAATACAAATCAGGGGTCCAAGGTCCAACTAGCGAATGGAATGTGGTCATTAAAATTAAAGTTGCGCAGCCTTTCAATCAAACGTTAGATGAACACACTAATGTAAGACAAAAAAGCTATCCGAGATGTTGACTCTGAAGCCAACCCACTTCCACATTACTCTTCAAATAGAATGAATGAGATATTTTCCAACTTTTCCCATTCTTTTTATTCGTAAAATTGGGATTGTTGTGATTCAAGAGAGAAAATAACTAAATTATGTTATCCTACAATTCGTTCTCTCGTTATCATAATTCACTTACTTGATGGTAATACTATTTGGTGTTCAAACAGTCCCACGGTGCCACAAACAATAAAAATAACATGTAGAAAACAAGCTCGTGTTCCGTGTTTCATAACTATGCCAACACAATACAATACGGATGACTAATTGTGGGTGGGTCGTTGCGAGAGAAGGTAGAATGGACTGAGTTTTCACGTGTTGCCCACGTCGAATATGTTTCTTGAAGGGTCAGTTGTCATTTATTTATGGCTGCTTGAAGGCTGGTCACGTATGAGGAGTTTGGTCAAAGCAATTTAAGCACTGGCCCAAATTGTTTTGTGCGCACAGAGTGGAGTAGGAAAAATAGAAGCTAACAGCCTCCGTTGTGAATATAAAGTGCGAATCCTCATGTGCTTAGAAGGTCTTAATGTGACTCTGTAAAGAGGTAGAAACGTTTCAATCTCATGTACGGTGAAAAATATATATGCGTATATATATTTGTATCAATGAGGTGCAAAAACGCCACACCTTTTAGTGACTCGATGACCCTGATCCCTGCCCAAACAGGATAGTGGTCACGGATTCCCGCGGAAGTGCACGTTCTCGGGCGACCAATATACTGCGTTCCACAGGAAAAAGAGAAGAAATGGACATAAAAGGGGTTTCAGAATCAGCTACTTTATCTTTAGAAAGATGATACGCCAAGTGAAGCCCTTTTAGAGCATAGATACATAAAACATTTCCTTCATGGCATAAGAGTCTACGAGGCCCAACATTCAACTAAAATATTCTGTACAATTTAGAGTTTGTCATCGATCGTGTCATCTGTGTAGGTTCTACTAGATCTTTTGAACAAACAGACCATAAGGTTCTTTTTTAAT